GAGAATTGCAAAATACTCAAAAACTAGTTAGGATAGATAAAACTGCATACAGAATATAAAACTGACATGTATTGAAGAGGCAAAAAATAAAGGCTGAAAACGAAAACTTCAAAAGTTCTCTAATATCCAAGAAATCTAACTAAAACGAGTGTACAATGAATAAAACTAAGGGTAAAGCTTTCACCAATATAACATAGCATATTGTGTTATTGCTTAAATGATAGAAATAATAGATTTATGAAGTGTCCCTTTGAGTAGAAATCCGATTTCTAACGTTTCGCATCTTCGTGTTAGTCATTTTTTTCAAATATAAATAAATTAACAGTCTGCCTAATTGCTCAATTTATTCGAAATGATCTAGTCAAAAAAACTATGCCAGTGACAAATACAAACTCTTTGCGTTTAAATACTGTAGTGAACGGAGAACACAGGTGAGGGCGACCGAATTGTATTTAACGAAAATTACAGAGTGATTCAGTAAAATAGGAAAACTATATCGTAAACGGTTAATTTGCAAATCTTCAATCCATCATCAATCCATTGTCTGACATTTCACTATTCATGCGTTTCATACAAATTCCATTGTGTCCTAACTCTTCCTTTCTTGATCTTCCACCATCTTCTTCTGCCAGACATAATGTTTCCATTCGCGTCATATACTACTTATAAGTAGCGCACACCACAATACGTCTTGTTTAGCAAACAATGAGTTTAGCTAGTTCAATCATTTCTAACACGGTACAACTTGGCACGTAAGACTTAAAATAAATAAATTTCAAAAACCAGAATAGAAAAGTTTTTAGGAAGGAATGTTGAAGCTCAAGATTTGATGTACGAGGATGGATAGTGTATACAGCTTTTCCATTGTAACTAATTCACAGCAATGATGTTACTCCAACGACTGATTATAGTTATTATCATATAAATCCCTCAATTAAGGCAGATTGAATAAAGGAATATGGGCTTAGTGCAACGGTCAATGAATTCAGTTTGGTTGCCCCCCCCCCCAATTTACACCCAACACCAGGTAACACTATATTTCGACATAACCAATGGATAGGAACTAATCAGTGTCATATTTGTTTACGGTTTTTTTAGTAAGTAATACAAATTCTGTTGAATAATTTAGTTATAAATGTTTGAATTCCTCAAGAACCGGTCATTCCGACTTATATTACGAAAGAGTAAACAGTTGACTCAAATTAGTTGATATTCAAGAAAAGATTCCAATATATAATCAACAGTAAAGATGATAAGCATGCGTTTATTATCATAAAGACAAAACCACAGGAGGAACTTTACACTAGCAACAATTAAACTTTACGAATAAACCAACAAGCAACATGAATCGCTTGGTTCGAGATCAATTCAAGAAGATGAAATTCAAAGTTACTGACTCAAGTTTACAGTTTGAACTGATTTAAAGATAGGGCGCAGGCTGAAATTGACGTTTCGTTTTGAATGTTAAAAGGATTTCTCACTAGGGAGTGTTCATAACCTCGCCAAAGATCGGATCTTGGTTTAGTTAAGGTTCAAATGTTAGTTGACTTTATAATCAAGTGTTAACTAGTCAGTCAGTCAGTTAATAATAAGGGGCCATGATCCATGAAGTTAACCGTTGATTATAATGAGATAGATATCACTAATCATCGGAGCCATAATGTGTATCGCATAAAGTTGTAAGTGTGCATGACTAGACATCAAACAATTTGGTTTAGAAATATAATGCGATCACAGTGAAATCTCAAGACTTCAGGATTTGATCACTGATCAGGGGTTGTAGGGTACGCAGTGTTGAGAGAGAGAGAGAGAGAAAGAGTTCCATAAGATGGAAAATGAAAAAAAAATGCTTAGAACTCCTTGATTTTCAATGGTTGTCTAGCTGTCTAGGATAAATTAATGAAGGAAATTACAATTACTATTATTGTACTAGTCTACTGAAAATGAATATTAGTAACACAGACAGTGAGTGCACCAGGAGGGCTACGAGGATTGTGATTGTTAACAACACTGAGAGAACGAAGCACTAACCGTGAGCACCTGTTGAACTTGCTCATTGCACGACACACGGAGGAGGGTGTAAAAAATTGATGAGAGTTATTTCACTGTTGTCTTCTACTTTGTGGTCTTGTGTGAGTTACGTTATCGACCAAATACACATATCAAACCCGTAGGCTCTCTTCTAGGTGCATATTCGGTGTCAGCCTGTCTGTGTTACTAATATTCATTTTCAGTAGACTAGTACAATAATAGTAATTGTAATTTCCTTCATTAATTTATCCTAGACAGCTAGACAACCATTGAAAATCAAGGAGTTCTAAGCATTTTTTTTTCATTTTCCATCTTATGGAACTCTTTCTCTCTCTCTCTCTCTCAACACTGCGTACCCTACAACCCCTGATCAGTGATCAAATCCTGAAGTCTTGAGATTTCACTGTGATCGCATTATATTTCTAAACCAAATTGTTTGATGTCTAGTCATGCACACTTACAACTTTATGCGATACACATTATGGCTCCGATGATTAGTGATATCTATCTCATTATAATCAACGGTTAACTTCATGGATCATGGCCCCTTATTATTAACTGGACTGACTGACTAGTTAACACTTGATTATAAAGTCAACTAACATTGAAACCTTAACTAAACCAAGAATCCGATCTTTGGCGAAGGTTATGAACATCTCCCTAGTGCAGAATCCTTTTACATTCAGAAACGTAAACGATCAATTTCAAGCCTGCGCCCTATCTTTAAATCAGTTCAAAACTGTAAACTTGAGTCAGTTAACTTTGAATTTCATCTTCGTTGAATTGATCTCGAACCAAGCGATTCATGTTGCTTGTTGGTTTATTCGTAAAGTTTAATTGTTGCTAGTGTAAAGTTCCTCCTGTGGTTTTGTCTTTATGATAATAAACGCATGCTTATCATCTTTACTGTTGATTATATATTGGAATCTTTTCTTGAATATCAACTAATTTGAGTCAACTGTTTACTCTTTCGTAATATAAGTCGGAATGACCGGTTCTTGAGGAATTCAAACATTTATAACTAAATTATTCAACAGAATTTGTATTACTTACTAAAACAAATATGACACTGATTAGTTCCTATCCATTGGTTATGTCGAAATATAGTGTTAACCTGGTGTTGGGTGTAAATTGGGGGGGGGGCAACCAAACTGAATTCATTGACCGTTGCACTAAGCCCATATTCCTTTATTCAATCTGCCTTAATTGAGGGATTTATATGATAATAACTATAATCAGTCGTTGGAGTAACATCATTGCTGTGAATTAGTTACAATGGAAAAGCTGTATACACTATCCATCCTCGTACATCAAATCTTGAGCTTCAACATTCCTTCCTAAAAACTTTTCTATTCTGGTTTTTGAAATTTATTTATTTTAAGTCTTACGTGCCAAGTTGTACCGTGTTAGAAATGATTGAACTAGCTAAACTCATTGTTTGCTAAACAAGACGTATTGTGGTGTGCGCTACTTATAAGTAGTATATGACGCGAATGGAAACATTATGTCTGCAGAAGAAGATGGTGGAAGATCAAGAAAGGAAGAGTTAGGTCACAATGGAATTTGTATGAAACGCATGAATAGTGAAATGTCAGACAATGGATTGATGATGGATTGAAGATTTGCAAATTAACCGTTTACGATATAGTTTTCCTATTTTACTGAATCACTCTGTAATTTTCGTTAAATACAATTCGGTCGCCCTCACCTGTGTTCTCCGTTCACTACAGTATTTAAACGCAAAGAGTTTGTATTTGTCACTGGCATAGTTTTTTTGACTAGATCATTTCGAATAAATTGAGCAATTAGGCAGACTGTTAATTTATTTATATTTGAAAAAAATGACTAACACGAAGATGCGAAACGTTAGAAATCGGATTTCTACTCAAAGGGACACTTCATAAATCTATTATTTCTATCATTTAAGCAATAACACAATATGCTATGTTATATTGGTGAAAGCTTTACCCTTAGTTTTATTCATTGTACACTCGTTTTAGTTAGATTTCTTGGATATTAGAGAACTTTTGAAGTTTTCGTTTTCAGCCTTTATTTTTTGCCTCTTCAATACATGTCAGTTTTATATTCTGCATGCAGTTTTTATCTATCCTAACTAGTTTTTGAGTATTTTGCAATTCTCGGGGGTTCGTTAAATTTATGCTAATAACTCTTTTTTTTTTTAAAGTAGAGCTTTTTCGTTTTAATTTCATGGATTTTTTTGAATACTGACTTAGTTAGTTGTGTAACTATTATCATGAAAGTATGTTGTTGATGAATAAAATGGCTGACTGACTAGTAGTAAGTAGTAAGCTTGTACTATATATAATTGTTGGTAAACTTGATTTAGTTTTTAACTTGTAAAAGTATTGATTCAATGGAACAAGGATATTGGACAATAAATAGTTCAATACCTTTCCGACTTCCTCCTCCTTAGTTGTATGATGTTCACCGTGCTATGTTCTTACTAAATGAAGCTAATACAGTGGTTGAATGTAGTCAGAACGTAATGCCTCAATATAAGTGGATGTGATACCGAATCGCTTAGACAAGTGACGGCCATACTACAACTATTCGAACAAGACAAAAATGCATGTCATGGATCATATTAGTTAGTAAATGATTATTTACTCTTGTGATTTTAACTTTCGGCTGTGTATTCATCCACTTTATTGTACTTCAACTGAGTTTTAGAATGCACCGATTGCCTATCCGCCTTTTCGCTTTTCCCATTCACTTTAATTATAAATCATTCTCTCTCTCTTAAGTAAAAGAATATTGTTTTTCATCCGAAAATAGAATCCTCCATTAAATTGTCTCCTTTCTTTATTTTACAACCTTAAATCTATACTGTCCAAATTACTAGTGGGTTTTTTGCAATCATAATTTGTAGTAGTTATTACTTTTTCATACAAAGAGTTCTTTTGTTTGTTTTGTCTGTAGGTGATTTATTAAAACGTTCTCAAGTGAGCATGGGTGCACCGAGTGATATTGCTTTGGAAGCGGTCGATGAAGATATTGCCACTTTGACAGCTAGTGTTCATAGTGCATCGGGTCGAGAAGAGCCATGTGTATTGAAAAGTTTACCGAATAATCGTTTAGGTATGTGTGTGGGTGTGGGTGTGCGTGCGCGCTTCTCTTGCTTAAATTAAATTTTCTAATTTTAATGAAATTCAAGTGAAAATAGCGTCTTGTGGTTCTTTCTCTGACTTGGATTCCAACCAACCAACAGATAAGTATATTGCGTAGATGTGCTCACATTCCATTTGAAGGTCAATGGTAAGTGATAGGTATATAAACGAGGCAGGCTATGATAGCAAGTCTGTCAAGTACTTACTGATGCCCCCAGCCTACTTGTTTTTTATGTAGATCAGAAGGATGAATGTATCCATACCGATAATTGTGATCCGACCTTGACAATTAAATCTAGTTGCTTTGTTTTAGTCTTCTGATTTTAAGGGTGAGTTCGGTGTACTGCAGGACTGGTTACATTTTAACTTGTTCTGACTGTAAAACACTGCACCAATATATATAACTCAGATAATTGCAAGCCAATAGATCGCTGATGAGGGCAGCACTGCACGGCCATCTCGTCCTGATATGGGACTCATTAGCAGTGTGCAAGTACAACCCTCACTCTCAAGATCTGTTTCTAATGGTGGTCTAACAGTTATCAGTTCATAATTAAAAATTGATTTATCGATTATCTATACTTTTTTGATTATTCTGCATTGTGGTTTGCCACCATATGACGGGACATTTGTGATATTGATTCTATTTGTGAATGAGTGGTAACCCACACTCGCCGGAAACTATCGTAAACCAAAACGACCAGTGAAAAGCAAGGAAGGTAAGGTAATCAGCAACGCTGAAGAACAGCGAAATAGGTGGGTAGGGCACTTTGAGGAACTCTTGAATCGACCAGCTCCACTGAACCCACCCAACATCGAAGCAGCATCCAAGGACCTCCCAATTAATATTGGCGCACCTACAATTGAGGAGATCAGTATGGCCATCAGACAAATCACGAGCGGCAAAGCAGCACGACCAGACAACATTCCAGCAGAAGCAATGAAAGCAGATGTGGAAGCAACTGCGAAAATATTTCACATCCTCTTCAAGAAGATTTGGGATGAGGAACAAGTACCATCAGATTGGAAAGAAGGATACCTGATCAAAATACCAAAGAAAGGCGATCTCAACTAGTGTTAGAACTACAGAGGTATCACTCTTCTTTCAATACCAGGCAAGGTCTTCAACAGGGTATTGTTAAACAGAATGAACGACTTCGTAGATTCCCAACTTCGAAGTCAACAGGCCGAATTTCGTAAGGGTCGATCGTGTACTGACCAAATCGCAACATTACGGATCATTGTGGAACAATCAATAGAATGGAACTCATCACTCTACATCAACTTCATCGACTGCGAGAAAGCATTCGATAGCGTGGATAGGAAAATACTGTGGAGGCTTCTTCGACACTACGGTGTGCCTGAGAAGATAGTTAATATCATACGGAATTCTTATGATGGATTCAACTGCAAAATCGTACACGAGGGTCAGCTGACAGACTCTTTCGAGGTGAAGACCGGTGTGAGGCAAGGTTGCTTACTCTCACCCTTTCTCTTTCTACTGATGATCGACTGGATTATGAAGACGTCGACATCTGGAGGGAAGCACGGTATTCAATGGACAGTTAGGACGCAGATGGACGATCTGAATTTCGCAGATGACCTGGTCTTCTATCGCACACTCAGCAACAAATGCAAGAGAAGACGACCAGTGTAGCAGCAGCCTCTGCAGCAGTAGGTCTCAACATGCATAAAGGAAAAAGCAAATTCTCCGATGCGACACAACATGCACCAACCAAATCACTCTTGATGGAGATGTCTCGGAGGACGTAAAACCTTTGCATATCTGGGCAGCTTCATCGACGAGAAAGGTGGATCCGATGCAGATGTGAGGGCGCGGATCGGCAAAGCAAGGGCTGCATTTCGACAGTTGAAAAATATCTGGAACTCCAACAAACTTTCAACCAAAACCAAAATCAGGTTTTTCAATACAAATGTTCAGACAGTTCTACTGTATGGGGCGGAAACTTGGGAAACTACGTAAGGCCATCATCCAGAAGATACAAGTATTTATAAGCAGCTGTCTTCGCAAATAACTTCGTATTCGTTGGCCAGATACTATCAGCAACAACTAACTTTGGGAGAGAAACAAAACCAGATTGCAGTGGAGGAGGAAATCAGGAAGAAGCGGTGGGAGTGTGGATAGGACACACACTACGAAAAGCACCTAACCTCATCACGAGACAAGCCCTCACATGGAACCCTCAAGGCAAAAGGAAAAGAGGAAGGCCAAGGAACACATTAGGCCAAGAAATAGAGAAAGATATGAGAGGAATTAACTAGAATTGGACAGAACTGGAGACGGAAGCCTAGGACAGATTTGGTTGGAGAAACTGGTGGGCGGCCTATGCTCCATTGGGGTTAACAGGCTTAAGTTAAGTAAAGTAAGTAACCCACAGTTGACATTATCCTTCAATCATTAAGAAATACTTGTTCTTATGTCCAATATATTTCGTCTATCAGCGTATTATTTATGTTCGAAACACCAATCTAATATGATGGCCTAGCTTCCTTCTTGGTCTTCCGATATCAGTTCAGTAATATAGAGTTCAAAGTAATAATTCAATCACATCAGTAAGCCAATTGCTCAGTCACATAGTTTCTCAAACGTTTATCTGGTCATATGAATATCTTAAGTTCATTGCATTTCTATGTATTATTTCTTCAACTTTTTTTTTTCAGGTATTTCATTCACTCCTAAAGAAGTTGGTGAACATTGGTTAGTGTATATCAAGCAGGCAAACATATAGCTAATAGTCCATTTCGGAATTTCGTGTTCTGAAAAAGAAATCGGTGATCACACGACGTGTACGTCGTTTAGTTGGGCCAGATTGGTTAATATCTGTTTATCTGAATAAACCGAATCAATCACGTGTGGACACACGGGAGATGCTGGAATGATGCCTCAATGTTTTTTTGTGTTTAAAATCAAAACTCTCAGTAGACACTGGACCGTGAATGAGATTTAATCAGGTTGTATTAGATAGATAGTTAACGCTTGGTTATTATTGTAAACTACATTCAGTGTATGTATGTAATCAGGTGAATTATTCTTACAAAACCAAAGAATTTGTTTATGTATTTTTTCTGCTAAGTATTGCTATGCGCTTAAGTGATTTTTATCTAAGTAATATGGAAACCTCTCACTCAACCACTTGGATACAGTTAATCGGAATTAGCTTCCAACAAAAACTAGGGTTCACTCAATGGATCATTGATTGAGTCTTTAATAACTAGTGTCATCATTCAATGTGATAGCCAAACAGATATAACAGTTTTCCAATCAGCCAATTCACGAACCAAGTACAACAATGTGATTAGAATAAATATTGTGTTCACAGTTAAATTTTATTTGTAACCATGAATCGATCAATGTTAGACCACCATTAGAAAACCTGGAAGCGTTCGCGCGCATTACCGATGCAGGAGTCGTGGATGCGCCACTGCTGATGAGTCCCATACCAGGATGAAAACGGCCGTCCAGTGCTTCCAGGTTTCTAATGGTTGGTCTAATATTGATCGAATCGTGGTTATAAAATAAAACTTAACCATCTTCACAACAACCCCGCAACACAGTTAAATTTGACAATTTTGTATAGTAGGCTTTTCCAACACAATATAAAATAAGCCATAATTATGAAAGGTGAGAGGAACGTTATTAGAGCTCTTAACCTAGATCGTTAGCTATGAGTTCTTAGTGAGAACATAAGTAGTTCAGTTATGTTGGATGTTTGTGAATTAATTATCTAAGCCATGGTATTCAATGATTGGGTTGGTTGCACAATATCTCGTACAAGTCGATGGTGCAAATTTAGTGATTTAAAGATTAAGCTGTCGTCGATGCACAAGACCTAATAAAGATCCCGGTTTCCATCGGTGTTGATGTCATTTATGCACATACACTTCTCTGAGGAAGTGTCATACTAAGATGACATAGTTGTTTAACTATAGTGAATTCTGGGATTTGACAAAAGTCGATGATTTTTATTGTTTATATGATACTTTTACCTTTAAAAAAAAAAGATTTTATTCACTTTCATTAAAACTATGCTAAATCATTTTTCATAAAAAAAAACATAGGTTATGCTGGTTTAAGTCTTTCCATTGAAGGACCAAGTAATGCCGATATAGAATGTCATGATAATCATGATGGTACATGTACAGTGATCTATACACCAACTGAACCGGGTCAATATGTGATCAATGTAAAATATGCTGATGTTCATGTACCGAATAGTCCATTTTGTGTTGATATCAGCGGTGAATCATCATCAATGAAAATGATGGAACGTATTATTAGACGTCGTGAAGCTTCAAAAGTTACATGTATTGGTAGTCGATGTGAAATAAGTCTACGACTTACAGGTTAGTGGTATTCTGACTAATTAACTTATCGTATATTTGTAGTAATCAGTCAGTCAGTTGATAAACGTAGAACTTCGTATGTAAGTACATCAGTTCATGTCGCCATACCACACATCAGCACAGAGATATAATTGTCAATTCAAATCCAATAGTAGTAGAAGAGGTAGTCAAGATATTAGAAGTAATCGGAGAGGTTAGAATTAGAAGATATTATTCATGAAGTATGATTCAATGAGATAAGTTTAGAAAGTAAAAGCTAGAGGTGTTGAAGAATCCAGAAGATTAGGATTTGAGAGAACACAAAGAATAAATGCACCGGCGCCATTGCGAACGATTTTGAGCCATGTCATTTAGGGTCTCTAACCATCAATTATTATCATCTCGCGGACCCCAACCAGGTAGTCGACAATTACCAACATGGCTAAGTCCACTCGTCAATGACTTCATGGATTTCTGCCATGTTTTGGTCTGGCCGCCCCTAGCTTTCTTCCAACCTATTCCTACACCAGAAAACAAAGCTCGACGAGGCAGTCGGTGGTTAGGCATACGCAACACGTGTCCCAACCACCTCAGCTGATGAAGTTTCACCACTTCATCTATTGATTTGTCATTCTTACCTAGCACCCGTTTCCTAATAACAGCGTTGCTCACTCGGGTGTCCCACGGTATACGAGCAATGCTTCGAAGACACCTATGATCGAAAACCAATAACCGACGAATATCTTCTACTCTCATTGGCCATGTTTCACAGCCAAAAAGTAAGACGGAGCGAACCACTGTGCAGTAAACTCGTCCTTTAGTCAGCAAGCGGATATCTCGCCTTCGCCATGAGTGACGCAGGTTGGCAAAAGCCAATCGAGACTTCTGTATCCGTGCCGAGATTTCGTCAGTCACCAGGCCATCAGCACTGATGAGACTCCCAAGATAAGTGAAGCGGTCTACACGTTCGACTACTTCACTCCCTATCACTAGTTCAGGTGCCGATGAAATTCAATCTTGAAGCAACATTTTGCATTTCGAAGGGGAAAACCGCATCCCGAACATGCTTGCATTGTTGCTTACGGTAGTCAGAAGACTCTGCATTTGTAGTAATCAATTTGTGTTTTATATTTTATTAGTGTGTACAAGTTGACATTTTACACTTATTGTATGTTGTAACTGGACTATTTGAACACTAAAGAAAGAAGTTTGAACTCATTCATAATGAAATGCTTTAGAGTTCATATGTGACATTGAAGTAATAAGTTTTAATAAATCATCAAAATCATAGATTGTTTCAGTTCATTATTGATTTTCAAATCTCGAAATGTAAGATGATAAATATATACCTTGAAGTTGGCATTCACGCCTGATTGCATGCATAACAATGAACCAGAAAAAAATTACATCATGCCAACCATTGTAGCCTGTATGTCAATAACACTAAATTTCATTCGAAATCAAATAATTGTATATTTATGAATGTATACTTTTGACTGAAACAAATAACATTCAATTCGTATTCATCCCTACATGATCTCATTTCAGTTCAAGTACTCTTGGTCAAAACCAGACCACACTAGAATAATGGCTTTTCTATACTGAAGCTGAGATGTATACCCTAAGTATTGTGCACTAGGAGGATTGAACTCAAGACTTTCAAATCATCTCTTAACTAATTAATGCCTGACTGGTTTAGCACCACTGAATCTGTTGTAATAAACAGGGAAATGTATTTGGGAAAAATAATCATATCGATTTCCCCATGTGTAATGTCTATATTTTTGTTATAGACTCTTCTTCAGTTTACACAGCTTGTAGTGAACGAGAACCCAGTTGGGGCAACCGAAATTGTATTTAGCGAAAATTACAGAGTTACTCAGTAAAATAGAAAAACTATATCGTAAATCGTCAATTTGCAAAATATCAGTTCATCATATCGAACTGGACTGTTCCTGTTGCAAAACATCAATCCATTGTCATTACTATTCATGCGTTTCATACAAATTCCATTGTGTTCTAACTCTTCGTTTCTTGATCTTCCCCCCATGTTCTGCTGCCAGACATTACATTGACACTCACGTCATATACTACTTATATTAGTAGCTCGCACCACAAGCTTACATAGCTGTATGAAATTTAGTATACACAATTTAAAAACAATCACTTCCAATTGATCTGATATATTTTAAATGATGATGTATAGCCGATGTTATATTAGTCAAGTTTTCTATTTTTTTTTTAAAAAAAAAATCATTCCAGACACAAATATCAATGATTTGTCTGCTACAATCACTTCACCTTCTGGTCATACTACTCGTTGTGAAATTGTTCCCACTGATAATGATCATTATAATATTAAATTTATACCACAAGAAATGGGTGAACATTTAGTCTCGGTGAAACATAAAGGTGTTCAAATATCAGGTAAATTAATTAATTGCATTATCATGTTGTACACCGTCATTATCATCAAAATAAAATAACACCTTTGTTTGTATTCAGTCTTGTTTGTTTTATTTTTATGGGGTACATTCAATCAAAACACATGATCTATATACACTTCATTGTTTGAATCATTCACCTCAATACTACCTCAATACAAAATTCTTTATTATAATCGGATGATATCAGTTAAAACCTCTACCCTATTTATTTCTTCTTGGAATGAGTATGAATCAAGTTCATTTTTTTTGTTAATTTCAATCAATTTTTTTGAATAATGCTTGATATTTCGATCGGTAAATTCATGTGAACAAAATATATATCTGTATATATTGATTTTTTTTGTTTGAAAAAATAAGTCAATTTTCGAAAATAACAAGCACACTTCACCTTTCGCTTACTGTTGATAAAACTTTGTATATAAGTACAGAGTTAACATTATCAAAACGTACTCACTGCCAACAGGTCGTATATGACTTAACCATACACAGTAATTTCCCCTTGTGACACTACAATCATGTCTTCAAGTCTTCAAGAGTATTTGATCCATTTCTCTCTTCAAGTCTCTTTCATAGTGTAAGCGATTGGGAACTAATGACTGGGCACACACCGTGTTTTTACATAACGACATCCCTAGATCAATCAGAGTTAGACATTAACACCGTTGGATGCCGGCCCAGTGGTCCGATGGTAAGGCGTTCGCCTACAATGCCAAAGGTCCCGGGTTCGAATCCTGCGAGGAGCAGGAGTCGTGGATGCGCACTGCTGAGGAGTCCCATACTAGGACGAAACGGCCGTCCAGTGCCTCCAGGTTTCTAATGGTGGTCTAACAATGATGATTGATTAACGATTTCAAATGTGTAATAACGACAACGTTGTCGGAAACTACTTTATTGACCTTCACATTCACAAGTAAACTGCACGAATTGTTAGACTGAACCAAGAGAAACAGCCTCAACGAGTAGTGTAATCTCCTATAAAGTTCACTGTTATCATACTATTTTAAGAAAAACAAAACTGCTGGTTTTTGAGTAAACCGACCATCCAACGCTCTAGATAAAACGTTGAGTATATATACCTAAAATTGTGCAAACCATACAACTTGTGATTAGCGTACGGCTAAATATGAATTACTACTATATGAGTGTTGACATTGCACTACAGTTTTATTTTTTCGATTAACAATGACTTTTCCGTTCATTTGATGATGCTTTGTTGGGTTCCACGTAACATTTTATTGAAGTTAACCGTTTTCATGCAGATCATAGCTCGTTCAGTCTGTTTTAATGTTTTCCTACTGAATAACGTCTCTGTGTGTGAGTTGAAGCAAACAGAAGGTATTTTTGAAAGTTTTACCACTTTATCGTTGATACGGAAATTAATCATGTACTTCTGGGAAATCGATGACAACGTTACAATACTTTGACTGACGAAAATACTACGTTGCATGGATGGATCGATTCAATCATAATCGGTGATATTGTCTGCTTTAACTTGAGCAGATATTCAAACTAAAAGATGGGACTAAACTAATAAGATTGTTAATGATCTATCGATCTAATATTGAGTTAGTTTTTGTTTACTCTACCAAAAGCGCTGTGCAGTTTTGCACTGGTCTACCACTAACTAACTGATTTACCAGGTACCGATTCTTATGCTTCATGCTTTAAGTGTTGATAGCTAGTGATACTTCCCAGTTGTATAAACAGAAAAAAGTAGGTGCTTAGATTTTTATCACTGTTTTCTGCTTAACTAACTTCAATATCTATGTTGTGTCAGTAAAAATCAGTATTAATTAGTACTTTTCAAATATAACTTGTCGTTTTTTTTGTCACTGCTACTATTCAATATTTTTCTTAGGGAGTCCATTCCATTTTACTGTTGGTCCAATCACTGATGGTGTGGCGAATAAAGTTCGAGCAATGGGTTCTGGTCTTCAAGAAGGCTGGACACATATTACTAATGAATTTACAATTTATACACGTGAAGCTGGCGCTGGAACATTGTCAATTGCAATGGAAGGTCCTAGCAAAGCAGAAATTGATTGTGATGTATGTATGTGGTGGAATTTTTTCTGTTAATCAATGATTAATAGTTATCTCTATTTCGCTCTATCCTTCACAATAGTGTTTTCTTTACTACTAGTAGACCTGTTGACTGCTTCACTTATCTTCATTGTCTTATCAACTTTAATGGGCTAATGAAACCTTCGGTTGATAAGGTAAATAATGAGTCTTCATCTGCCTAGGTCCTTAAGATATCAGGTTACGTATACCGAACTACTTACTGTATACCTAAACGCACAAAGTTCGCTCACCTAGGAGTGAAATGAAACAGTGTTGACATCACTGACTGTTAGAGTGACCAGTGTAATAAATATTTCTGTGCATTATTGAAAATAAGTATGAGAATCAATTCCTAATTTTAATATGCCGTATATTCTTTCTTTTTTTTTCTACCATCTCAGGAAAGACGCGATGGTTCCTCAGCTGTACTATATCGTGTTACTGCACCAGGTACATACATTTGTTCGCTTAAGTTCAACGATGAACACATTCCTTGTTCTCCATTCCGTATTCATGTCTCTGATTCCACACAAACTAAAAGTATAGCATCATGCACATTACCTTTCCGTACCAGTGATGTTCATTCTGCTCGCAGTACATCCACTAAAGAAGAAACACTTCGAGTGAGTTTTTTTTTTCTTTTTCAAACTGTATTGCTCATACATAACTTGTATTGATTTTTGGGAGAGTTGTTTGTTGAATCCTCCTTATCGTGTACATTAGCTAGATAACTATTGAAAATTAGGAAGAAGTAGACAGTTGTATGGAACCCAGTTGAGAATCGAACCTAGGACTTTTAGGTTTAGGTGAGCGCTTAATCTTCAAACTACTACTACTTTAAGATTTAACAATCCCTACAAACTCCCCGTATACGAGCAATCGTCGTGTACCCACTAGTGACTAGTCTTGAGGTGTGATTTCTTGGAGTCTTATCGAGAAGCTGAACTATGTAATATGGATATTCTTGCTTAACAAATGTATTCTCTTTTTTTTTTTTACTAGATTGGACGTCCAATAGCTTTCACTGTACATCATGTTGAAACTGCTGGTCATATTTTAAAAGCTAAAGTATCAACTCCATCAGATACTCATGAAGATGCTATTGTTCAGCCTATTGATCAAGATCAATTTGTCATTCGTTTTGTTCCACGTGAAGGTGGTCCACATCTAGTTCATGTACACTCGGTGCCTATAGAAGATGCAGATAAACCTAATTGGAGTTTTGGTCCAACTTCATCGTATAAATCAATTCAAGGTTCACCTTTCCGCCTTGTAGTTAGTCAACATGCTGCTGATCCAGGTATGGTATTTGCTACTGGAGAAGGATTACGTAAAGGAAAAGTCGGTATGTGATTCATTGATAACCTTTGTAATTATTAATTAATATTATTAATGTGATTTTGAGTTTGTAGTGTTTGTACATTTTATATGGAGCAGCACACTGGGCTTGCCCCTATCCTTCAAACATCTTAACTAATCCATTCTACCCTAGTTATTTATAAATTCACACGTCTTGCGACTTTGCCATCTATCAACCTTTATCTTGGTTGTTTGTATACGGTTCACAAAGTGATTTGTAGAGATTAAACAGCTTTGCAATACTTTGGGGTAAGTTTATGTATGCTGATTTTGTGAGAGAATATTTCAGAATAAGAACATTCAACTACAGGTAGTTAAGAACAGAAGTGTGCGAGGTTAAGCCAATCCAATAATTGACATCCTAACGTGGTGGTTGAATTCGCCTATCGTGATGACCCAACCCAGCTATAGTGGCTGGAACATATGTTCCTGTAGGCCCTGCCATGCCAGGCAGGTCGATTGGAGAACGATGAGACTAAAAGCAGCTACTGAAGGTCCGATGGCGAAGTCGTACTGCTGACTGTAAAGAGTTGTGACAGCAGTAAGGTGTTTCTCTCAGACAACCAGCATCTGCAGCGATGCTGCCTTCTCACAAGGAAGGAAGGGTTAGAAAAGGTCGACCTTAAAATGTCACAATTCACCTCACCTCACGGATTTCCGTCTCCGTCGGTAAGGGGCTGCCCAATAAGGGCTTTGAAGAGCGGAGCTAATACTCAAAAACCTTTCATGAAAAAGCCGTGCGTGACCTGCCTCAAGCAATTGTCCTTTGGGCTCTGCGGTTACGCTTCCAGATCGTTATGACCGACACTAATCTACCTTCTTTTCAGGTTCCCCAGGAAACACCCAGGGTGTTGGCAGCTGAGAAGTGATATCCGCCCTCATACCCGTAACGGCACACGAGATCAAATTGACCGACTGACTTTAGACTTTGCACCATTTGTTTCTATAATCTGACACACACCAATTCCTTCATTTAATAATCTGATAATGTCTGTGATTATTGATTGAACTTTCTTTATCCCATCTGTATGAATCAAACTAGTAAATTAATGTATAATAATCATCATTCTAGATATGAAGAATTCCTTTTTCGTCAATACAACTAATGCTGGTTGTGGTTTACTCAATGTCACAGTGGATGGACCAAGCAAGGCAACTGTTACTAGTCAAGAACAAGATGAAGGTTATGCATTTTTCTATACACCGACTGTACCAGGTATCTATGAAATCACTATCAAATATGGCGGTAATTTTCACATAAGTGGTTCACCATTTCGAGTAAGTAATCAATTAATAATAATAAAAAATAATTCAAATACTTTATTTCCTTTTAATCTATTTGTTTATGTGAATTTACTACACCGAAAGATTATACAGATTATCACATTATATGCGATCAATTGTAATTATGCCATTTCTACATGGGTGGTTAGTGGCAAAAACATTTCAGATTGTAAATCTAGCTTCTCCGGGTTCGGATCCCATTAGATTCGCTCATGATTCCAAGAATGCCTTGTTGATGAGTATTGAAGTAGCGCACAACTCGAGGTTTAAGGTTTCTTGTCGACTACCTGCTGCCTAACATTAAACCGGTGCACACGATATAGAGTCTCCTAGACTATATGCCACATTTACAACCTAAACCATAGAATTCTGACAGCTCTAAAGCTTTAAACAACATGACATCATCGACCACTGTTCAATGACTAACTAATCATGGAAATATACTTGTATATAATTGACTTGTCTATTTATTTAATTTTATGACCTGAATATTGTTGTAGAGTAGTTAGTTTGTTTTAATTTTCTGTTGCATTTTGGACAAATAGTCGTACGGATTATTTTATACAGAAATAAATGAGTGATCGGTATATATTTGCTGTTCAAGTATCTAAATCAGTTATGAATGACTTTGTCATTGCTGAATTACTCACTCAGTATGTGGTTACTGTATGCAGGAATACATTCTCTCGTTTATTTTTTATCCTTAAGACTTTTTCATATTATCATCACTTGTCTTTGTGATTCAGGTTGAAGTGACTGGAACGCCTAGGTCAGAAGTTGCCGATTATCGTTCAGAAGATCGTCAGTCAAATGTTATTTTGGAAACTGTCGGTAAAACAATGACCAGATATTCATCTGCAACTGAATACAAAAATCATCAAAACTCTGGATCACATCCGAAATTGGTCACTTGTCAAGGACTTGGTTTAAAACGAGCCGAAATTGATCGTGTGAATTATTTCAGTGTTGATGCCAGTGAAGCAGGTAACATTGTCTGTCTTTATCCAATCATGATGCTTTGATCAATCAATATTGATAATGAATCTACTTTTGTGGATCATTTTCTCGTTGTTGTTTTTTTCTACTCAATCGGATATTGGTTGAATTCGAGGTGATCTCTAACTGTAGTGTTTTTTTTATTAGATCTAGTTGCGAGTAACAAAGTATTTGTACTTTTCCGAACCCGTTGAGAGATAAGTCACCTTCAGACAGACAGACAGACAGATACAACTCAGAACTTCGTACGTAAGTACATCAGTTCAGGTTGCCATGCCCCATCAGTACAGAGACGCAACTGTCAGTTCAAATCCAACAGTGATACCAATAATAGAAGGATTAGCAGTAATGGAGAAGATTAGGTGTAGTGAAAGAGAACACAGGTGGGGCAACCAGATTGTATTTAACGAAAATTACAGAGTTACTCAGTAAAATTGGAAAACCATATCGTAAATCGTTCATTTGCAAAATAACAGTTCATCATATCGAACTGGACTGTTCCTGTTGCAAAACATCAATCCATTGTCATTACTATTTATGCGTTTCATACAAATTCCATTGTGTTCTAACTCTTCCTTTCTTGATCTTCCCCCATCTTCTGCTGCCAGACATTACATTGACACTCACGTCATATACTACTTATAAGTAGCTCGCACCACAGCACCACATAGGGAGCGAAGATATGATTCGAGAAGTATAATTCAGTAAGATAAATATAGAAGGAGAAAGGTAGAGATTATGAGGAATACAGAAATTTCATAGAACACAAAGAGTGGATCCACTTGCGCTATTGCAAACGATTCTAAGCCATGTCGTTTAAGGTCTCTAACCATCGGTGACTATCGTCTCGCGGACCCCAACCCAGGTAGGTAGCCTACATCTACCAACATAACTCAGTCCACTTGTTAGTGACCACATGTATTTCTGCCATGTTTCGGTTTGGCCGCCCCTAGCTTTCTTCCAATCTCTGATCAGTGTTATTTGATGTCAAGTACCTTGTTTTCTGCTTGTAAAAAACTATGTTTTGTCAAAGTTATCTACAAATTTCATCTATTTTTTTATTTTCAGGTAATGATGTCCTACTCATTGGTATTTATAGTCCGAAACAATCCTCCGAAGAGGTAGTGATTAAACATTTATACAATAATCAATACTCTGTGTCATATCGTGTCTTCGAAAGTGGTACACATTATCTAGTAGTTAAATGGGGCGATCAACATGTACCAGGCAGTCCATTCATTATTCATGTTCCATAATTAATCATTTTTGAACGATACTACTGATGATACACGGGAACCATTTCAACAACCTCGCCCCCCCACGCCTCACACAAAAATATGTATTGCATGTGTACGTTTTCTTGATTAGAAAATATCAACTAAGCTGAAGAAATCTGTTTGTTTGTGTACTATTTCTATGTATCTTCTTTTTCCAATTGTTCATTCTTTGTTTAAATTTTCTATTTTGAATAATAAATTAATTAATTAATCAATTAAAAATTGGATGATTAAGCCATGTTAGTCAATCACCGACGCAGAACAATCATATGAATATATGATGGTGTCTTTTTTTTCTCTGTTTTCGACATTATCGAACATGTGAATAACACCAACAACAACAAGTGTGTGGTTGAAAAATGCTTCTCTCTTGTAATCAAATTGTGACTTTGTTTCTTCACTGTTTCTTACACTGTTATTGAGGTGTGTGTGTATAAACCCAAGTATGTGCCATGTGAACATTCGTCTATTTCCAGGCATCGGATGCCTTTGACTTTTAGAAATCTTCTCTTGTGGGGTTGTCTGTCACACACACACACGAAATTGTATTTTGAGATTGATTCAATTCTATTTGTTTCCTTAATTTTAACAACAAAAAAGCCGATTAATTTTGTTCATGTAATAATTCTCAATTGACAATATCAATAAATAAAAATTATACTATTCATATTCTTGTCTTATTTTTTGTATGCATGTCATTGTGTGTTGGGGAATTTGTATACGACATCCTCCTAGATGGGATTTTCAAAACGAAAACAAAGTATAAATGGACTATGAACTAGACGTGTTGCTTGTAAAAACCCATGTGGGCAAAGAAGATATTCGTAGGTAGGTTACTGGTTTTCGATCATCGGTATCTTCGAAGCATTGCTCGTATATCCTGGGACAACGGAGCAAGCAATGCTGTTATTAGGAAACGGGAACTAGGTTAGGATGGCAGATCAATAGATGAAGTGCTGAAACTTCATCAGTTGAGGTGGTTGGGACATGTGCTGTGTGTATGCCTAACCACCGAGCTATATTTTGCGGTGTAAGAATAAGTCGGAAGAAAGTTAGGGGTGGCCAGATCAAAACATTGCAGAAATCCATGAAGTCACTGACAAGCGAGATGATAATAATCGATGTGACATGGCTCAAAACCGTTTGCAATGGCGCAGGTGCATTCATTCTTTGTGTTCTCTCAAGTCCTGAACTTCTTATTTCCTTATCTTTTTGAATGGACAATTACATCTCTGTGCTTATGTGGTATGGCAACATGAACTGATGTATGTACGTACGTACGAAGTTCTACGTCGCTATTGATTGATTGATTGATTACATGTGGGCATAATGTGACGCAACTCTAAGCAGGCTTCAGTAGCAATAAAGTGAATAGTATCGATTTATGTGTGCATATTGAGCTTGGAATTCCCCTTGTCGCTTTATTTTAAAGTGGTGAGTTCATGGCACATCGGATTTTGCTAAACACTATTGGTTTACACGTTCGTTATAATAAGCCGTGAGTCTAATATATCGGTTGGGCAGCCTGTAATGACTCTAGTTGGATTTACAATACAGTTAGATAACCATTTCATGCAATGTAGCATCGTTTCCTCATCGCTAGCCATTCTTTTGTTAAAGCTGACTGGTCTGTTCATATTTCTGCTTTCAACGGGGATTCAAGCTAAAAAGAACAAGGTAGTTGATTGTTAAGAAATAATCGATTTTCTAGTGTGATCCATGTTTATGATGCCCTACAAGTTTTCGAGTACTGCTGTGAACCACTGGCAGTGGGGACAATTATTTTATTAATCTTTGTACTTCATAACGTTCAGTGACAAATTATATTGATAGTTATAATGTTCAAACACTTTCTAACATCTATAATGTAGCCTGGATTCACACACTCACAAATTGTAACCACTGCAAAAATATTCGTACTAAGACTGGAACTTCAAACGGTCAACAGGTCACATTGATTGATTAAGCTTATGAATTCAAACAGATAACTATAATCTGTGATATATACACTACACTGAAGCAATTCACTCAAGATGCGCATATAACCCACATCATACACTGATTATTCGCAATCCTGGTGGATATCGACCATAAATTACAAATAGTTATAGCTAATGTGCATAGTTGTTATTGCATATTTCCTTTTTAGGTTAAACACTGATCAGAGATAATCGATCACTATTCTAATCAATTCTCATTAATACCATTGCGAGCAATTGTTAACACTTGCATACATTCTCGTTGGTAGAAGACATTTAACTCATTCAAAATTACACAAAATATTATATATATATTTTTTCTTCTAAAAAAAACAACACTTCATTTGAAAATATAAATCACTTGTGATCAAACAACAGAGAATAAGTTAAATGTGGTAGAGAAAACAGAAAGAGAATCTAAATAAGAATATCCAGTTCATAAAAAAAAAAGATGTCAGCCAATACTACTTGCATGCATATCCACATTACCACCATCATGGAGTTTCGTGTGTGTGAGAGAGAGTGTGTGTAGTTTGTACAATACCCAGCTAGAGTGTATGAAATGATTCACCACTACGTGCAAACCAGATGTTACATACACACTGGTGTGTCTTTTAAATCTCTTACGATCAGTTGATGTAGTTAAGTAATAAATTCCCTCCTAATTAATTTTCAAGATTTCACAAATTAATAATAAATACAATGGAAATTATCAATAAATAATGATAACAATCAATCATTGAGGATGATGATGTGAACAAAGAGATGGAATGATTAGGAATCACAGAGAAACTAGTCTTTTTAATTGGTCTCGATAAGAAACGTAGCGCTGTTCTCAAACGTGTTGTTGTATTTCGTGGTTGATGACGATGATCAGTAAATAATAATGGTCCAATGGTTAAATTATTGAAAGATGAATAGAAATTTTTATTCAATCTAGCAGCAGTCATCATAGTTTGATTGCCATGAGTGTTATTTTTTGTAGAATTATTATTTTCTCTTTTCACTGAAATTGAAAATAAACATCAAAAAAGACGACATATGACATCATTGTTGTTGTTAGTAGTAGTGTGGTGTGAGCTACTTATAAGTAGTATATGACGTGAGTGTCAACTTAATGTCTGGCAGTAGAAGATGGGGGAAGATCAAGAAAGGAGAGTTAGAAAACAATGGAATTTTGTATGAAACGCATGAACAGTGGACATTGGATTGATGTTTTGCAACAGGAACAGTCCAGTTCGATATGATGGACTGATATATTGCAAATTAACAATTTACGATATGGTTTTCCTATTTTACTGAGTAACTCTGTAATTTTCGTTAAATATAACTCGGTTGCCCCACCTGTGTTCTCTTCCACTACAGTAGTAGTAGAGTGCCTACATATTTAGTTCTTTTTCTATAGGGAAGAAATTCGACTTGGCCGTCGTCAACTAACTACTGATGTGGTTGCCGATACGATGTTACGTCGGCCAAAGTTATGATACATGGCATTTTCATACCATGTCGTCATCGTTAATATGTTAAATTGGTTAACGATAGAATCGTTATGCGGCATGCAAGCTGACAGTTGCCGTGAAAATATTTCCCCTTATGAATAAACACTACTGCCTAATTTAGTATGCAGTGTAAATCTGTTGTAGTTTGAAACGTTAAGAATGTAAGGATCAGCCGAATGAGCATCACTATATGAAATGGACTCCATTATTCAAACACTGATTATTTGAAATTCATATTTTTGACGCTATTACAAAACTGTCATGTTTACGTAGAATTCTATTTTCATGTTTCGAAAACAAAATATTTACACATTTTGGAACCATGAGTCGATCAATGTTCGACCATCATTAGAAACCTGGAAGCACTGGACAGCCATTTCGTCCTGGTATGGGACTCATCAGTGGCAGTGCGCACTGCACCTCACAGGATTCCAACCCAGGACCTTCGGTCTTGTGCGCGAACGCCTAACCTCTGGACCACAGCCGGTATCTAACGGTGTTAATGTCTAACTTGATCCATTCACGGAGTTGCGCAACCTCATGCACAGTCTTCTGTAGCTACTACCCGAACAGGTTGAACTTCACCGGTCACGACTTTTCAATAGAACTCGGAGAAGATTCCTCACTAAGCTAGTCACTAGTGAGCATAGGTAATTCGCATTACAGGGTTGTGAAGATTGTTGAGTTACACATTTTTGAAACAATGAATCGATCAATGTTAGACCGTCATTATAAAACTGGAAGCAGAGGTTAGGCGTTCGCGCACAATACTGAAGATCCTGGGTCCGAATCCCGCGGGGTGCAAGAGTTGTGGATGTGCACTGCTGATCAGTCCCATACCAGGACGAAACGGCCGTCCAGTGCTTGCAGGTTTCTAATGATGGTCTCACATTGATCGATTCATGGTTCTTAAAATGTGTAACTTAACAATATTCACAACCCCGTAATGCAACAAAATATTTATTTATTTATCATGATTCGAATATGAGCAATTACCAACAACTTATAATTTACTTGCAGTCAACTTAATTTTAATGAGACCAGCTAGTCAAGTATAAAGAATATAAGTCGGAAAAATAAGTAGTTCTATAGTCTCTGTCCAACGACGAAGCAATAGTTTGAATAAGCAGTTACTGAAAAGTACCTTTGATGCCTCAAACATTTCTTGTTTTGATTATTAAAAATAGAGTTGTTCAATTTTTATTGAAATCATATGAACACTCTGTTGGGATAGTAATGAAACAAATCGCTAGTGACTGTTGATAAAATCGAATTTGTGTTAACTGAGCAGACGAAATTCTTGAGTCTTTAGAGGGAGAGAGAAAATCACAACTGAACAATTTTTCCAAACACCAACTTATGACGGGACCTCAGATATAATGAATTGTACCAGTACCACTGAATGAATGGCTAGTCGAACGTTTACAAATAAACAAGCCATACCTCTCATACATTGACAACTTGATGCTAATCAATGTGCGGTAGATTCATTATAATCGTTATATACTTTGAACAGTAAACGTTCATTATTTAAAACGCATATTTGAATTTCCAGGTATTTGGAACAGTTTAAGTTTACGTAGCAAAGAAATATGACCATTGACAACTTTATCTCCAGCAAACCAACGTTAATGTATGATGTTTGAATTCTGTTTCAAACAAATCCTAATTATATTTGAGATATTCAAAAACCTAATGAATATTTAACAGTGGATTTTGTAGACAAACCAATCAATATACAACATGCGCTAGTTTGATTTCATTAATAGCCGATACTGTTTACTATTCGAAGTAAAAAATGAGTAAAGCTTTGTTAGGTTCGTCACTTAGTATGCTTGTAACTATTATGGGTTCACCTTAGTCGATGAACTAGAACTAGACAATGAACCAGCGTCCAGTTAGGCTACCTTGATTCGTTGACCACGAACAGCTAACGAGAAGTATTGATATAGCGTAGAAAGTGAATTCTACAAACACCCATCAAGCACAATGAGTTAAAGCATACAAATCGCGTTTATTTATACATCATAGAAACGTTCATGGGACGACAGTCACAAAAATAGCACACTAAAATAACACATTATCCAATAACAGCCAAGGATTTTCCTGGTGGGAAATCTGATCTCAAGGTCAACTGATCAGTGCATGCTTGCAAACATGAAATCCCAGATTAAGGCATTTATCAAGTGAGTTCTGGGGATCTAACATCATTACTCTCACACCAGCAGCATTAGAGTAGTTATTGGCTAAGCAGACATTTGCCAAACCATTCAGTATAAAATAAAGATTTAAAAACCATACATCAATATGTCACTATTTGTCTACAGTACTCGAACTATGCTTCAACACATGCCTATGATCAAGGTGTACTTTTCACTTATTCATAATTTCTACTTTCACAGCCATTTGGGGGAAATACAATACAATACAACACAATGAATGTCCTGCTGTATAATAATGCATATATAGAGGTACACACATGAAACTAATTTAAATCTCTATGCATAGATTTATCTAATTGAATCAATAAAATGTACTACACATAGCAATGCAATGCAATGAACTTACTTGATGAAGTAAGCAATAATTTAGCAAATGCTTTAGTTTCATCGAATTTAATATTTTCAAATGGTGTAGTTTTATATTGACATTGCGGTGAATGATACATAAAGATTGTGTAATTTGCATGATTCTTATTATTATTACTATTATCATTATTCTTGTTGATTTGAATTATCTAAGAAAGAGAATATACATTTTATATATATATATATATAATAATGTCAGGCCATAAATATGCTATATATATACATATATGTATGCTAACTGTTCACGTGATGATATCTAGTGTGCTTGCTGGTGAATAGAGAGAACAAACAGATCAATGAATGATATTACAAAATGGTAAATTGTATTGAAGAGAAAATAACTTCTGCATAGGAGTGTGTGTAATAACAATCGTCGAAACACACTAACTAGTTAATCGTTATCAAATTCAATGACAAAATGTGAATATGCTCGAAATTTTATAAACCGAAATTGAATAGTAAGTAGTACATAGTAAGTAGTAACATTCGCTAGTTTTCTTTCATATTCACTATTTAAATTTTTAATATTCGAATGATTTTTTTTTGAAACAAAATAAAAAGAAATGTATTTTACTAAATGATTAGGTTTAGATTAGATTTATCTAGAAAATGTATGAAATTCTTCAACGTAACCTCAATTGACTACTAACCTACATGAAAATATGATTCATTTGAGATTGTGTTACATAAATTATATGTTTCATGTATATACTGTGTGGCTATTGAAAGCGAACATGTGATTGACCGCCTCATTGAGTGTGCACAATGTACGTACGTACATTCATTCATTCAGTTTACTGGCTGGTATTGATTGATTTCCAGTGTGAACTCAATATGAATAATGTAGAAAGAATTTAGTTGTAATTGTGTTGAATAAAATTTTGTTACATAATAAAAACGAAAATTCACTCACACACACATGTGTGCAATTCGAAAATGTAACCTAACTAACTAGTAAGTAAATGGTTTGAACTTAGTGTCTGACTGAACGTTTTAAATCTCTACTCTTCTCGATAATTGTAACCAATATGTGGTGTGCACAAATGATAACAGGTAAAAAAACATAGGAATCAATTGAAACAACTCAGAAACAACAAAGATCTATTAAAAACATATGCAGACAAAGGTGTAGATGTAGTATTGTGGTGTGAGCCACTTATAAGTAGTATATGACGTGATTGTTAACGTAATGTCTGGCTGCAGAAGATGGGGGGAAAATCAAGAAAGGAAGAGTTAGAAAACAATGGAATTTGTATGAAACGCATGAATCGTGACAATGGATTGATGTTTTGCAACAGGAACAGTCCAGTTCGATCTGATGAACTGTTATTTTGCAAATTAACGATTTACGATATGATTTTCCAATTTTACTGAGTAACTCTGTAATTTTCGTTAAATACAATTCGGTTGCCCAACCTGTGTTCTCGTTCACTACAGTATTACTAGACTGTAAGATTTATATGTCCACAAAATGACAAACTTGTTATTAGATGAGGAAGAAAAGACTAAAATGATCGAGAAGCATTTGAAAGAAACTAACGATGGTATCTACGAACGCATAAAGCCAACAGGATCAATACTAAATACCACAACTATATAGTATGTGCTACAACACACAAACATGACCTATTTTACTCAGGTCTATCCAGATTCACTGGACATAGTATCTGGCAGATCTCCTAGAACTCGTAAATAACCGAATTTGTATGCATTCTCTTTCGAATTCATATAAATCACATAAAAGGAGTTAGTGTAAATGTCGAATCCACAATTCAATTAATGTCACACTCACTTGTTTTCTGCTTATAACAGTCATCTTATTTTCGACAGACCTTTTAGCCCCAGCTGACTTGTCGCTGTTTCTATGATCCTCCTGATTTTATAGTTCATCTCAACTGGAACACTCTGAGTTTCCTCTTTTACATCAACTGTAATTTTCTTCATTTCCATGATGATTGTTAATTAGTTTATTTTACCCTACTGTTATCATGTTTAGCAAAACATTTTCTACAGTCGTTACTGCTGTAATTATTATCATTTTGAAAAGTATTGGGGATGTTAGATCCCCAGAACTCGCTAGATAAATGTTTTTACTTTGGGATTTATTTCATGGGCTGATCAGTTGACCTTGAGAGCACATCTCCCACCTGGGGAATCCTTGGCTTTGATTGGTTACTGTGTTATTTTAGTGTAATATTTTTGTGACTCTCAAAGGACATCTCTATGATGTATTAGTAAACGCGATTTGTGTGCTTGCTGGATGTTTGTAGAATACACTTCCTACGCTATATCAAGACTTCTTGCTAGTACATTTGGGGTCAAGGGATCGGAGTAGCCCATTTGGACGCTAGTTCATTGTCTTGTTCTCGTTATTCGACTAAGGTGAATCCGTAATAGTTTTAAGCATACCTAGAGACGAGTGTAACAAAAAGTGAGTAATGATTTTCCTACAACTTTAAATGAGTGAATTTACCGAAAAGAGAACTTCTCTCTGAACTAATCATTCTTGCTTCATGTTTTAATTGGCGTTTTTTCGTTTACTTTATATTATTAGTTTATACTCAGGCTCTTTATTATTGATGCATCAATCGTGTATCTAGTATAACATGATCAAGTCTGTGTTATAGCATAGAGTATTCAGTTCAGAAGTAGTAACTTTTCAATCTTCAGTCCTACTAACGTATTAAAGTAATATATTGCGATAAAATGATCAAATATGTGTACTTATCTGTTGTTTACAATAATGAAACTATTCATTGACAAATTTCACTTACTAAACAATAATACTGATCTGTAATATTAAGATATGTGATGAGTAGTAAATAAGATGTAGAAATAGTTGAAATTCCATCAATATCAAACGATGCAATACATTGATGATCTGTAAATTAAAAAAGCAGTTGAGAAATATCATTCAGTGAAAAAGAGTCAAATTGTACCTTACTATACCTTGGATGGAAGGATAATTCATACACTTCAGTAGTGTTATAAGTATCAGTCAGTCAGTCAGATGCAACGTAGAACTTCCTACGCAAGTACATCAGTTCATGTTGCCATACCACATTAGCACACAGATGTAATTGTCAATTCATATTCAATAGTAGTAGAGCTAGTAAAGGTATTAGAAGTAATCGGAGAAATTAGAGTTCGAAGATGTTGTTCAAGAAGTATGATTCAGTGAGATAAGTTAAGAAAGTCAAAACTAGAGGTGTTGAAGAATCCAGAAGATTAGGATTTGAGAGAACACAAAGAATAAATGCACCTGCACCACTGCGAACGATTTTAAGCCATGTCATTCAGGGTCTCTAACCATCGATTATTATCATCTCGCGGACCCCAACCAAGTAGTCGACACCTACCGACATGACTCAGTCCACTTGTTAGTGACTTCATGGATTTGTGCCATGTTTTGGTTTGGCCTCCCCTAACTTTCTTCCAACCTACTCCTACACTACAAAACAAAGCTCGTCGAGGCAGTCGGTGATTAGGCATACACAGCATGCTGACAAAATGAGTGGCCAACTGAACCCAGTGGTTCATTAAGTAAAGTTCTGGATATTTAAATTAAAAGCTAATATGTCGGAATCCTGGTGTAAACAACATTTACATAAGTGCAGATAAGTCTCGTTCTCTAAGCTTCCGGATAGTACATTTGATCTAAGTTGACTCACAAGAGTAGTTCAATTCACAGTTCTAAAGTGAAGTGGCTAAACCAATTCACCGGTTCTTTTCTTATGCCCTATCATTGATGATATACGACTTTTCAAAGATTTAGTTGGTCTATCAGGACGTAACATGACTAGCTGTATCCTAGTCGAATGTCGGTTTCAGGAACACAGTAAGTCATTCGATTTGGGTATTTTACTGACCGAATTCTTTCGAATTAAAAGAGATATGTACACTGACTAGTAGATGAACTAGTTCCATGTAAACTTCAACTGAGATTAACTCATATTTTATGTTTACCGAAACACAATTCATTGCCATGAATCTTTCTCCTGAGTGGACATGATTTTTTGAATGATCAGTTTTAAACTGCTTCCAAAAGTTAATTAACAAAAAACTTTCAGCATGAATTAAACAAGAATAATGCAAATGACATAATTTCATAATTATTGATTGATTAATTAATTACTTGATTTAAATATACTTGGATAAATGGTCGATTCACAATCATGCGCAATTCTTAGTATATTATCGAATTCACCAGTTATACCGAGATTTGGATTGAAATCACTAATCTCTATTGAACATGGTCGTTGATAGCTTCTATCTTCATCATTATCATCTTCATCAACATCATCGTTTTGGTTTAAATTCATTAATCTGCCATTCATATATACCGTATGATCTTTTTCTCCTAGACGATTACTAATGGCTTGTTTGTTTGTTACATTTAACAAATATCCATGACCACCGAAATAAGTTGATTCTGGTTTCAGAATAAACAATGTACCAGTAAGGCGTATTTGATATAGTCCACACTTTGTAGTACTAGTCGGAGTAAAAGTATCTGGAAAAAATGAACATTGATTGAAAACTTAAGAATAACAGAGATCACACGCTACTTAAGTAAAACTGCCATTGAATATTTAGAAGACACGAGGTTGTTCTTTTCTCGTGGTATGTGACCCCTCAGAGATGAATACTCACGAACACGTTGAATATCAACTCAAAGCCTTTGAATCTGGCTGTAAACTCTTTGACTTTAAACCGTGTAGCCATCATCTAAACATTTACGTTCGTGATATTGTACAACTAACGTGTATGAGAGAATCTTTTACATAAAACATTGTCTGAAGATTTACAAAAACATCTCATGTCCTACACAAGCTGGAATAACTCTCAGATCCATCAAAGCAGTCAATGTTAATTGAATATGCTAGTTTGAAAAATTGTTTTATTGTTCAAATTTCAGAGTAATGTATTGTCAACGTGTTTTAACATTTTAAAGGTGTGAAATTTAATTGCCATCTCATCTTATCGCTCTTATCCATCAACCAATTAGGCTCGAATTTATAACTATTCTGATTAATATTGCAACACAGGGGAGGCTTGGCAAAATACCTCTTCAATGGGTCATAAAGAATTTACACCACGGATACATTTAAACACGATGCGAAATTCTTGACTGAAACATTGATTTCGAATGGTAATCCAAGAAACTTCATTAACATTGGTAGAAATCAGTTAAGACAAAAGCCTGGTCTTTTATTCTGTTGAAAAGAAAAATGTTTATGTCACTTTACCACTTAGAGACGAATCAAATGGTTCAATCTTAAGACAAAGACTAAAAGCAGCCATAGAGAAAACATACTACGCTGCTAAACTGATTATCATTGAAAAGACTAAGTCGATGATACTATGTAGGCCTAGACATTGCTCGAAAAATTACATCGTATCCCACTGCATTTATCAATTACATGTTTGTATGGACACACATATACATGGAGGATTAATCGGAGTTTACAATCAAGGATTATGGAACCTGAACCTAAGTGGCTTGAAAACTAGTTAACGTCAGGTGAGCTGATTAGCGTGGGAAATAGAAAACCATGTTCATTGATCGCAAAACACATAACTGAGACGGGGCATAAGGTTGACATCAGGACAGCCTTCAAAACGTTGTATAGAAATGTTGAAGGACAAATTTCGAGGTTTATGGAGGCCTTGGCTATTCGAAAATTAAAACTCCCCTTATGTCATAACCTTAAATTTACCCTGGTAATATTTAAGCCATTTTATGCTCCATAGTAATGTGACAATTTCCTAACCTTTAGATATGACATTAATTTCCTCTCTCCTTCATTTAAAATTATCAGTGTATGTCTATTTGAATTTGTATTTCATTGACCTTTGATTAACGTTCATATAAAATGCCTTGACAAGTACATGTACGTCCAGATTGTTCGAAATGAATCAATTATGTCTTCTCATTGTTCTATCGGAATAAATACTGGTCCGTGTCATTCTATATGCATTTAACATTATCACCACTTACTTACGCCTGTTACCCCAAATGGAGCATAGGCCACCCACCAGTTTTCTCCAACCTACTCTGTCCTGGGCTTCCCTTTCTAGTCCCACCCAATTTTTCTTCAGTCCTCTCATGTCTTTCTCTATTTCTCGGCGTAATCTGTTCCTTGGCCTTCCTCTTTTCCTTCTGCCTTGAGGGTTCCATGTGAGGGCTTGTCTCGTGATGCAGTTCGGTGCTTGTTGTAGTGTGTGTTCTATCCACTTCCACCGCTTCTTCCTGATTTCCTCCTCCGCTGGAATCTGGTTTGTTCTCTCCTACAGTAAGTTGTTGCTAAAAGTGTCTGGCCAACGAAGTATTTTGTGAAGACAACTGTTCATAAACACTTGTATCTTCTGGATGAGACTTTCGTAGTTCTCCATGTTTCCGCTCCATACAGTAGAACTGTCTTGAAATTTGTATTGAAAATCCTGATTTTGGTGTTGATTGATATTTGTTTGGAGTTCCAGATATTTTTCATTTGTAAAAATGCAGCCCTTGCTTTGCCGATCCACGCCCTCACATCTGCATCGGATCCACCTTGGTTGTCGATGACACTGCCTAGATATGTAAAGGTGTCAACGTCCTCCAAAGAATCTCCATCAAGCGTGACATGGTTGACGTATGTTGTTTTGTAACGTAGAATCTTGCCTTTCCCTTTATGTATGTTGAGACTTACTGCTGCAGTGGATGCTGCTACACTGGTCCTCTTCTCTTGCATTTGTTGTTGCGTGTGTGATAGAAGAACCAAGTCATCTGCGAAATCCAGATCGTCCATCTGCGTCCTAACTGTCCATTGAATACCGTCCTTCCCTCCAGATGTCGAAGTCTTCATAATCCAGTCGATCACCAGGAGAAAAAGAAAGAGTGAGAGTAAGCAACCTTGCCTGACACCGGTCTTCACCTTGAACGAGTTTGTCAGCTGACCTCCATGCACGATTTTGCAGTTGAATCCATCATAAGAATCCCGTATGATGTTGACTATCTTCTCAGGCACGCTGTAGTGTCGAAGAAGCCTCCACATAGTGTTTTCCTATCCATGCTATCGAATGCTTTCTCGTAGTCGATGAAGTTGATGTAGAGTATTATCACCACTATCTATTTTTAATTAAAGTACTATAAGTAAACAACAAGATTATCACTCTGAACTGTTAGGTCAGTTAATTTTTAAAACGAATTTAGCAACGTGTTTACATTGTGATGAACATTGCTCAACGACTTAGCAATGGTCTCACATACCCTATAAAGTTTAAATTATAGTGTCCAAAATATCAATTCATGAACCTAAAACTGAAAAGTTGACATTGATTGTCACATAATTTTATATGAGTTGCTGAATTGTGTTAACAAAATGAAGATACCCTGCCGTGAACGTTCATCACACATGACATAACATTTGTGTCAACTTGATATTGTTTTCTAAATTAGTATACACATTGACATACATGATGATATGTATGAAGTTCACTGCAATCAGCTTGATATGAAAGATTTACTTCATCCCAATCTTTTTACTTAATAAAAATCATAGTCGTATGTGGAGAAATCAACTTATTGAATGGTCATTACACTATGTGATAATTATAACGTCAAGATTAATTAGAAATGACAATTATTTTTGTATTCATATAAATCTACGTCATTATATAAAGTAGCACTTATGGCATAACCTCCTTATATTGTCGGGCTTACACGGCTTGTGCTAGCTTTTGGACAAACGAATCAGCCTTTTCTGCCTTCCAGTTATTATTCATACACTTCTTTTTGACCTTGTCAATTATTCATCCATAGCCTTAGTTGTTTTTATTTGAATATCTTTGCCCATGCTTACACGTTGCTTTCACATGTCTAGCTTAGTTTTATCTGAAAATAAAAACTTGCCTCATCACATTGAATTGACGCACTCACCTTCTCCATTTCACTTTGCTTCACTTAGCATTCTATTGTCTGTCTGCTTACGCGAATATATGAAATAAATTCAATCAAAAACAAACCTTGATTGCGCTTTTCAACTACTGCGGTCGCTCAGAATGATGTTGTGATATTCAATAATACTTGTCAAAATCGATGTCATATTTCGGGTCAATAAACACTTGCTGCATAAATAAATCCGTAACTGTTGACGGTTATATTTTGGGTGCGATTGCTCAGTCAGCCGACTTGAATATCGTTTTATTGTTATTGAGTAGTATATGGAAATCGATTATTATTTAATTCTACAGAAGGCTTTACTTCATCATTAACATACATTTCCAATCTCTTTACATAATAGTCAACAGGTGAGCATGAAAATCGACTACGTTGCAGTTTCACTATTAGTTTATATATTATCCGTTTACTGTTACATTGTAGTTCTTAATATATATAGTATGGCTTACAGACTCTTCTACCTAACGATTTATTTTGATTGTACTAAAATTTAGTACTAACATTCAGTAAAATATGACTACTTCTATGGACCTTAAGGTGCCATTTGACTCTGTGGATCGTGAGGTTCTGTGGCAGTTGTCCTGTCATTGAAAGGTGTACCAAAGAAGTACATTAACCTTATACAAGCACGCTACTCGAACACCACTGGTCGAGTGAGAGCTTATGGCGAACTGTCATCGGAATTCTCTACATCAAGTGGTGTTCGTCACGGCTGTCTACTCTCTCCATTCTTGTTTAACTTTGTCGTTGATATGCTTTTAGAGTTAATGTTAAGCTCGTCAAGATTTTTCAGGGGTTTGACCTTCTACCAGGAAAATCGCTTACTGACTTAGAATATGCCGAATGACATAGTTCTATTCGGGGAACACGCTGACAAAAATGCAGTCTTCTGATCACCCTAAGCAACCATTAAGCATGTTTGGGATGCGGTTCTCACCCTCAAAAATGCAAAATTTTGCAATGGGGTTGCATCGGCAAATGAACTAGTGATAAGTGAATGAAGTAGTCGAACGTGTAGACGCGCTTCACTTATCTTGGGAGTCGCATCAGTGCCGATAGCCTGGTGACTGACGAAATCTCAGCTCGGATACAGAAGGCTCGATTGGCTTTTGCCAACCTGCGTCACTTATGGCGTAGGCGAGATATCCGTTTGCTGACTAAGGACGAGGTGTACTGTGGCAGTGGTTCGCTCCGTCTTACTTTATGGCTGTGAACATGGGCAGTGAGAGTAGAAGATATTACGTAGGTTACTGGTTTTTCGATCATGAGGTGTCTTCGAAGCATTTCTCGTATATCGTGGGACACCCGAACGAGCAACGCTGTTATTAGGAATCGGGTGCTAGGGTAAGAATGGCAGATCAATAAAGCTGAATAATGAAACTTCATCAGTTGAGGTAGTTGGGACATGTGTTGCGTATGCCTAACCACCGACCTATGGCCTCGTCGAGCTTGTGTTTTGGGTTGGAAGAAAGTTAGGGGCGGCCTAAACCAAAACATGGCACAAAGTCCATGAAGTCATTTGATGAGTGGACTGAGCAATTGTCGGTAATTGTCGACTAACCTGGTTGGTGTCGCGCGAGATGATAATAATTGATGGTTAGAGAGAACCCTGAATGACATGGCTCAAATCGTTCGCGATGGCGCCGGTGCATTTATACTTAGTGTTCTCATCAAATCCTTATCTTCTGGGTTCTTCAACACCTCTAGTTTTGTCTTTCTAATCTTATCTCACTGAATTATACTTCTTGAACAACATCTTCGAACTCTAATTTCTCCGATTACTTCTAATATCTTAACTACCCCTACTACTATTAGATTTGAATTGACAGTTACATCTCTGTGCTGATGTGGTATGGCGACATGAACTGATGTACTTACGTACGAAATTCTACGTTGCATCTGACTGACTGACTTCGATGACATAATTGTTGTGTGAGCGAAGGAAAGCCGTGATTGTTCATATTTACTTAGACAGGTTGGTAAACAGTTTGACAGGTATTTGACGTGACACATATATTTCCATTGATTACTGGCTAATACACACATTCTGGTCA